TGCGGACATCTTGGGGACACTTGTCTATATTACACAGTCATAATATAGTATCTTTGGCAATCTCCACTTAGGTCAGCATTCCAGTATGGTAAAAGCGACAGAGGTACTAAAGACATGGAGGAAACTATTACATTTAAAAAGCACTTTAGCATGGGCTTAGCTTCTCTCCTGAATAAAGGTTTCAAAAGTGAGATGAAAGGTATTTTTTAGAACTATGTATATTTCTACCTATTGCAATTTGTACTGCACTTTCACAGGCCCAAATATTTAGCAATGTATCCTCTCCCTGTTGCATGTGAAAAAGAAAAAAAATCCCCAATGTATTTAATAGGATAAAAATCCACCAACTGTTACTACAGTTTGTCAAAAATACATATGGAAAATATCTTTTGATACAATCTTGATTTTAAACAGCTCTAATCTATCACTTGGAGATTGTATCAGAGTAAGGATTTCATCACAATTTATTCTTGGTGTGGCTAGACTTTTGGAATGCTGCCTTCCTTTATGTTGCCCAGAATTAAACTATGGGAAGAAAGCGGGGCATTAAATTAACCAAAAGCCCCCTCTTTAACTTCAGACCACAAAAGCAATCACATTCAAAGTTGAAATCAAAATATGAGCTGATATCATCTTCATCATGCAGAGCATGGGCTAACTTTTGCAGCATGAGAGACAGTATGTGGCATCGCCCAATGTTCTGCTACAACAGAGTAATGCAAGGACTGCTCTTAAAGGTTGCAATTTCAACTATTATTCTGAGGTATAGACAAATATATAGTTTAGTTGCATTAAAATGGAAAGAGCTACTGCTGCTGGGGAATGCACAGCAGCTGAATCTAACTGTCATGTCTATCATGTCTAAGTACCATGTCTGGACATTGATGCATCCCCAGAATACAGGGACATTCCCCTGGTGAGGGGTGGGTCCCCTCGGTCAATCAGTGGTGAGGGGTGGGGCTGCTGCCTTCTCCATGAATCAGCAGCAAGATGCGGGGCTACCACAAAAAGGTCACTTCCCTCCCTCCTTGGCTAGGAGCTCTGCTTCTCCTGGCTGTACCCTACCTCTAGCTACAGCTAACTGAAAGAAGAAGACAAACAATTGGCATGTATTTCCACCAATGAACTGGAAAACAGGACTTTTTGTGCTCAGTTCCTCATTTAGAAATAGACAATGGATAAAGGTTTAAAAGCAGGGCAGTCCAGTATAAAACAGGACCAATGGCTACTCTAGGTCTACGTGATCCCATGGCAATTCATGTCAGCTAAATAACCCCAACTTTGACCCTGAATGAAGTAGAATTAAACCTGAAATGGTTTTGCCGCACTTGCATCTTTGCTGCACTACACAATCATGCAGACCTAACAGTTGTATGGTAACAGCTTGAGTTGTTATTCTTTGTAATCTTTATAATTGTCATGTCTGTCTATACCCTTGAATTACTACTTTAAAGAGGCTAAACTCACTCTTAAAAATGTGGGTTTTTCTTGCCTAGAGATATCACATCAGTAGTAAGAAAAACAAATTAGGTCTTAGCTGAAAAGATTCAAGAGCACCACCAAACTAGAAGACTAGTTTGGATGGTGGCTCCCAACAGGTAACAGCTTTTAAAAGAACAGATAAGGCCAAAATATTTGATCCTGAAATGAATGATGTGCAATATTCCATTTGTAACAAGGTGGTTGCATTTGGATGATTGAAAATGGAAAAAGGTATTACAAACTGGGTAGGCAGCAGGTTGTATTCCTGTTTTCCACTCCTATAACTGACAGTGAGCGAGGTGAGGCTGAGAATGGGAAAGGAAGGACCCATCATAGCAGGAGACTTTGGATCCTTTAATAAGTGAAAAGGCAGGAGAGGTGACTCAGCCAGTTAACCGGATGAAAGATTTCCACTCACTTTAGCAGGCTTGATGGCTTTTCTACAAGTACTGTATGAGTAGGGAAGGGGTGGCAATAATAATGGAGAAAAGTAGCTACTAAACAACTAATAAATAGCTCAAAGACTAATGGAGGCTGACAGACTCTATAAGAAGTATTTCCTGATATCAACAGTGGGGTGTTGGGACAAAGTCAAAAGAGCCAACCATCCACTCCAGCTGTCGGAGGGAAGCTATGATTTGTCTGGAAAGGGAACAGCAGCAAGAGACTCTGATACATTTCACTGAATTGTCCAGGAAAAGTCTATCGAGGGGTTTCTAGAATGAATCATCACCACCTGTGAGCAATAACTGGGGCAAGCAGGCAAAGTCAGTTGCAGAACAGAACATCTGGGCTAGAGGATTAGAGGGCTGGGAAACAGGATTTAGAAGGAAGGCTGAAAAACTCAGATTATTTAGTCTGAAGGAGAGAAGATTGAATGGGGATTTGATACCAGACTTCTGATGCCTGAAGGTTGGTTATAAAGAGGATGGAGAAAGACTATTCTCTGTAGCTGCACAAATAGGACAAGGAAGCAAGAGTTTTAAAATTGCAGCAAGGGACATTTAGGTTGGATACTAGAAAGAACTCTCTCACTATGAACGTGGTTAAGCACTGGATCAGCTACCCACAGAGGTTGTGGCATATCCATCCTTTGGAAGTTTTTAAGGGCAGGTTAAGCAAAGACTTGACTAGGTTGGTTTAGACAAGGACAAACCCTGCCCTGAGCAGCAGGCTGTACTTAATGACCTTTTGAAGAACCTTCCAGGCCTATTTTTCTATGATTCTAGCTGAGATTGAGCTATGTGTAAGGATAAACATGGAGGAAACAGACCAAGAGCAGCATGCACATCCCGTATCATAACTCACTAGGTTACTGATTATGGTATATACTAAATCACACAGTTTGAGAATGCCAAGCAAACATTAGGCAAATACAAACACCACATGGAGAGGCTTCCCTAATACATACAGACCTAAAAAAAAGAAATAAAAGGAATCATAGAACTAGTGATCTTACTGTCCTTAGACAGCAAGTTTCAAAGAGACATCCCCTGTAAGAAAACCTAAGAAAACATATCTTTCTGAAGGATTTTTCCTTCACTCTCCTTTTTTGTTTATCTATTTATTTCTAAACAGCTAAGTAAAATAATGAACTAGAATAGATAGCCCATTCTATAATCAAACTAAAAGTATTGCTGATTCACATGGATGTCTAAGATCATTAGTGCCCCATTTTTTTTCTCCTGCAGGATTTCCTCTCTGACATTCAAGTCAGAAATCTTTGTTTTAAATGCCTTGGGGAATCTGGCCTATAAACACTAAGTTATTTTTGTCCCCAAAGCACCAAGGTGAAGAATATAAGGATTTTTTCTACCAGTTTGGAAGACTTTCAGGTGAACGGGGTTCAATAGATTAAAGCTAAACTGTTTGTTTGGCCTAAACAAAATTTCATATGTTATCTTGAGATATTTTAAATACACAATATCTAACTATGATTGCCTAAAGCCTGAGAACCCAGCGTCACAGAATATATTTGAAAATGTGGCTCAGCAAAACACCCGATATAAGTTTCTACGTCTGTCCCTTCATTGCAGAAAATTACCTCGGGTTACTGGTACCCGGGATTGCCTATTTCAGAGAACTACTGTTCAGAACCATATCAGAGTTAATGTGAACCCTATGATACTATGGTCATGCAAGTTTACTGAAGGATTTTGGAGGGCATAGTTCATGTTCTTTGTGCTCCTGAGATGTTTTTCCTTGTGAGCTATAGGAGAAATTGGTCCATCTGGGCACAGGGGCAAAACTGAGAAAAGGCATTTTGGAGGACTATCAGCTCTCAAGTGATTTAGCTGGCATCTTCCAGCCAAGCCAGCTGACTGGCTTTAAAGCACTGCCAGACTTAGGCAAGATATCTCTGTTCATGGAAGAGGGGGGACATATCAGGGGCAATATCCTAAGAACCTGAGAAAACGCTACATTGAAGACATACCATACATTTGAAAATGAAATGTTAGATGCAAAAGCATATATTTTTTCTGCATAAACTGGGCACAGGTATAACTACTAGTGCAAACCCATCACTGAGTGTGTACAAAACTGCCATCACACATTCAGAGACTAAACCAAAGTCTCTGTGATACTGTATTTATGTATTATGTTTCTCAGTCACGTTCTGCAAATGGTTATGAAAAAGCATACCCACATTTACAATAAGCTCCAGGTGTAACCCATTGTAGGGTCCATTTTTTGGTTACTTGTTTGTAAAGTACCTAGTAGCATGGGGCCTTCATCTATCACTAAGTTCCTGGCTATCATCATGATACAAAGTAAAAGTAATAATACATATGAGAAAAAAGGACTGAGTAGCAGCAAATAATTGGAGGATTTAGACAAACATTTGTTAAGGTGCCAGATACATTTATGGCACTATATATATGGCTATATATAAAGCATCTATACATTTGTCTAGATGCTTTAAAGAATAATAACTTCAACCTTATATGTGGAGCTGAGTCCCTAAAGGCAGACAAGTAGATATTCTGTGAGAAAACTGTTGGTCTGACTTCCAGAGACTTGCTGCTCCCATTGATATTCATCACAGCTGTCTGTTTTCAGCCCCTCTGAAACTAATGCCATCAGACTATGAAGATGTATACAGTTAACTTAATTCCAGGTAAACTAAGATTCTTGTGGCTGGCAAAAGGGCTTAACAGGTATGATAACATCAATGTTAAATACTGCTTCTTTCTACTTATCTGGCTCTGTGAAAGGACTCCGAGGAGTAAGAAAACACACAGAAATGTTCAAACCACAGAACAAAAGAACAAAACAGAAAAAGAGAGATGTAACACAGCAATCATGGAGCCACACAATCACACACATGCACTGTACCATGATCTCTCATACTTGTTGCAGAAGAGGGAGTGCTGCAACTCAGCAACCAGTCTGCAGTATTTAAAACAGTCATGTTGTCTCCTGAGAATGGGAATGGTACAATGATTCATTGTCTAAAAGTCTGCTCAATGCACATGAATATTCTTCAACACAAGTAAGTGCTTTTGCACTTCAAGCCAAGTCTTTTTAACTGCACCGGATTGCTTTTGTATTATTTTAGCTGGTGTATTTATGTAAGTATAACATATACAAATAATGATTAGTGCTTTTAAAGGTATTTTTCTAGTTTTCAGCTCTCATTCTAGAATATTTATACTTGGATATGTAACTATGTTGAATCTAAAAGACCTTTCTACAGGGGTCTAGTCCCTTCATACTCAAATGTAAATTTTCACTGACATAGAAATAATTTTTTGAATAGAAACAAGTGAATAAAACTGTGTAAATTATAGGACAAAAGAGCTGAACTATAAAGATGTTGGTTTAAAGTCTTAAAACACCAGAGAAGGGTATGTTAATGTACAACTTGGAAAAGGCAAAGGAGAAATCTTGGCTCTAATAAAGTCAGAGGTACAAATCTCATGGGCATCAGTAGGGCCTGCATTTCGTTCCTGAGTCTGATACTCTTATTCCCACAGCATAATATTGCATTCAGACCAATCACTAGGGCAAGGGTATCAGAATCTGTCCTTCACATAGAATGCATTGCTGGAGCTAGACTTTCTCTAAACTATAATGTCTTCATGGCAGGGTACAGAACAACAATCATTTTTTTTTTATTATATGGTAACGGCTTGCTATAGCTTACAACCATTATTTATGTTACGCATTCCGTACTTGCAGACAACTGAAATTAGCATGTGCACCATGTGACTAAAGTATCTAAATCAAGACTTGTAGAAATCTTGGTGCACTCTTCAAAGTTTACAGCTTTTAAATGAACCCAGGTTTGCAGCAGGATTGTATAGTATATTATTTGTCAATGGTATATTATCAGAAAGAAAATATATCTTAATTCAGATCAACAAACATAACTGAGACATTATAGAAAATTAAACGCTCTTTTAAACCAAATAATTCCAGAAGTTAACTCTTTTTTAACAGTCTTGACTATTAAACATCAAGGGGCCTCCCCTCACTCACCCTGTGTACATTCAAAGAAGCCAGCAAAGTTATATTTGAGTTCAACTGACTTACCGTAAGAGATGAGGGAACTCAGGCCCAATGCCTTTTCTCATTCAGTTTCAAATTGTTACATAGAATTAAACAGTAAAAAGCACAACATAAAATTGTCCTACTATTGTTCATATTTTTGCTGAGATCTGACAGATATACCGGCCTTACACTCAACACTAAGTTGAAATGCTAATTTAAAACTAGCCAGCATTAAATTGTAGCAAATTTCTGTCCCTCCATGATGTCTCATACTTACCTCCTGTTCCATTTGTTGTAACAGATGTGCTGCTGAGATTAGATTTATCCAGTTTGGAGCTACCTGAAGTATCACTACTTCCCACAAGATTATGAGGGCTTGCTAGATCCTGCATTTCCATAGACCTGTTAGAAAAGGAAAAAGTGCCATTATTTGCATTATGGAAGTGCCTAGAAGCCTTGGGCTTTCAGTGTGCACTGTACTGTACACAACAAATTTTTATAAAATGAGAATATAAAGGTGAATTTCACAAATGCAATTTAAACATATCTCCTAAACAGTTAATTTTTTGTAAACCAAAAACTTATTTATCCAATGTTGCCTAATGAGGTACCCATAAGGAAGACATTTTTACTTTCAAATAATTTATGAAATGTCAGCCTATCTGACCTGAAAATGTAATGGTATGTTCAAAGCAACTGACTACATACTGATAGGGGAAAACAGATTTATTCACAGTTGGAAGAACTGGAATTACATAGCTCAGAGAAGAGAAGACAAGAGGAGGTGTGATAACAGGCTTCAAATAGAGAAGTTATGTTATAAAGAGGTTGATGAGAGACTATTCTCTGTGTCCACAGGGGACAAGACAACTAACTTTAAAATGCAGCAAGGAAAATGTAGGCTAGATAGTAGGAAGAACTGTCTAATGATAAGAGTGGTTAGGCACTGGAACAGGCTACTTAGGAAAGATGTGAAATGTTCCTCATTGGAGATTTGTAAAAACTGATTTGTCAAACACGTGGCTGGAGTGGTTTAGAAAAGGATGATCCTGCCGTGAGCAGGTAGTGGCTGGACTAGATGCTCCTGAAGTCTCTTCTAGCTCTATGATACTAAAATGAAGCTTTTGATGGGGGGAGGGGTGCTGAGGGTAGACAGATTTAATAGTATAAGTCCATTTTAAAATCAATTTGATAGACTTATATAAATGACCCTTATGGATTTCTTTGAAGTCTTTGGCAGCATTTTTATTCTTATAAGTTATATATAATTCAATGTTAATTATTTGAAAAAATTTTCTGCCTTTAATGCAAATATCACAAAGCAATTAATGCACATTTCTTAAGTCTCACAATATACTCATCCTCCTTTTAGAAATGGAGAAGCTGTAGCCTGTTGCCTCACAAGTCAGAAGAAAAGCCCTAATTTTTCCCAGCCTGTATTTTACCCACTAGTCATAAATGCATCTCTAATAAATGATAACAACTGAAAAGGTGCTGAGATTATTTAATTAAATTATTTTTGTGTTTTGTTACATTAGTTTCTATCTCCTTTTTTCCAGGTTGTTTATGAAATTATGACTTCCAAAGTATGGCATCATGCAATGGATTTAGATTTTCCTTTCAAATTTAGGGCTCCACCATGGATTTTAATACTAAAGCCATATGGAAGGGATGAAAATGGGTTTTTTTCAGTGATAGCCCTAAAGGGCAATCTGCCTCTCACACTCACAAAGCAGGCAAAACATTTCAAGGTGTACCAAGAAATCCCATGCTAGACGGTTAACCGTATTCCAATCTGCAGCAAGCACTACACTTTTGCTTGCTTTATCTGAAGATTAATTACATTTATATTTTCCCCACAACAACATCTTTATTACAACTAAGCCGTAGCAAGGTCATCTGCAACAGGAAAATTGCTTACCACATGGAGTCAATCAAGGCGATGGAGAGCAGAAGAAAGAAAAGGCCAGAGGTGGGGGTGAAGAGCAGACAGAGGTCCATTAGGTGCCAATGTGTTTGTTTACATTTTTATTTTGTGCAGGAGGAGCAGGTGCCAGTTACTAGGTTAATACTGTGATAATATTTTTATCTTTGGCCCTGATGTATTCATTGACAATTTTATTTTGGAATTATCTGATCTTTGTCCTCAGTTCCTTTTTCTCAAAATAATTTTTCACCATTTTTTGTCCTGTTAGCTGAATCTGTCCTGTTTTTCCGAGGTGAGCTGCATTTTTACGCCTAAGTGTAGAAATAACTTGGTGGACATTCTAGTGTTCTTTAGTTTCACCTCCCATTAAGATCCATTTGCTCCAAGGCACATGGTTATATGAGACATAAAAGCTCTTTATTTCTCCTTTTCCCACTGCAACTGGAACAATACATTAAAGTCTTTATCCAAAGTCACTATAAAGCAGTGGAGAAAATCCTGTTGACATCACTGATTATTTGAATCAAACCTAGCTTCCCAGTGGTTTGGGGGTTTTTTTGGTAGGGTGATCTCCCTAAACACTAGACTTAATGAGCAGTGGAAATCTTACCTATGTAGTGAGCAGGTCATATACCAGCATGTAAGAATTTTATACCAATATTCAAAGCAGTGCAAAGGCATAAAATGAGATTTGAACTGTTTTGACCAGATTTCATCATCTAATTGTGTATCCACTTCCACATATCTGTCAACACTGCATTACATTTATTGTCTACTGGAAACATGATCTGTGTTAGATTAAATAAAATGAATGCAAATGGTTTACTGTAATGTCAGTTTTTGTTTAGCAGTTTCTTTTACAGCAAAAAGTTAAAGAAAGTCTGGGGATTTCCATCTTGTATGTATTTAAGAAAACAAAAGAAAGCTACCAAGGATAAACAACTGGTATTTTATTGCATATACAGTTTAATTCTCCCCAGGTGTTCACTAGAGATTAAAGTGTCATGATTTCCCATTCAAATACAATCAGCTTGAGGATATTCAAGAGACATTCCCATCTTAGAAAGTCATAGGAAGTTTCTCTCTTTCTTGTCAGGATGGAAAGACTGTTATTTTCTTTTGCACATTCAAACAGCATTTCTACAGATGCACAGACAAGAGCAGATTCCAGACTGAAAATCTAAGATTTCCTTAACTGTTACTGTTTGATGCACTTTTCGGCTCTGATATTAATCAGAGTTATTCAAGCAGGAAAAATATCCTACATCCTTTTTGTTTGCCAGAGAATAAAAACAGATTTGCTCTCTTCTGTAGAAGAGATGGCTGTGATTCAACATCACAACCTTTGTTCCGTGTTTGTCCAGTGCCTTGCACAATGAAGTCCTTGATGATGGATATGGCTCCTTAGGCATCATGGAAATGCAAATGAATCAAAAAATAAGGTTTAAAAAGTAGTTTGTGTGTTTAAAAAAAAAGGTATGAACAGGAATTTTCCATACACCTGCTCATTTACTGAATAGTAACTGAAATTACTGTGCAGTATGGGTGTGTGTCTACGCATGTATGTCTACGTAAATATGGTGACTTACACTGACTTGAGCATAAATTTGATACCTGTATCATGCAAGTATCTAATTTAAACCCTATTATTTACTGTGCAGTAACACACATGTAGATGCTTTACTGTGTAGTAACACTATGTGCATGGACTGACTTGGGACTAACTTTAGTCCCAGGTCAGTCCACATATAACGTTAATGTGCTTTAATGCCTGCATGTGTAAACACCAGCCTATTCCCACTTACTGCACAGTAAATTTAAGCTGGCGTAAATGCACATATAGACACACCCAGTATGTTTGTCCTGAAGGAGCAGAAAAATATGAATGAACAGTGAAGTTAAAACTAATATATCTAAAATGTAAATGGCTGTATATTAAAGACTGTTTTCTAGTGGATAGTGTGCTTGTTATAGGAAGAGCAATCAAAGGCACAGCAATGTCTGTTTAAAGTTGCCTAACATTTTCTATTATAAACCCTTATTTTCAATTGCTTGAAAATTTTGCCAGTCTTGTAACCATTTAAACTTAAGTTTTCCACACTTACATTTGACCTGTTATTTCCCAAAACATATTATCAGCATAATTGTTGACTAGTATCTCAGAATAGGTTTTGAAAAAGTAGATAGTTTGGCTGATGCTAAAATGTCCTCACTGCTTTATTTGTCTGAAGCAGAAATTTGAAATTTGACAAAGGGAGAGAAGCATCTTTTACTGTCACTGTCAACCCTCCCTTCCCCCAGATTTGGCAAACTGGTATCTATTGTAAGCAGGTGGAAAGATGCGTGTTACATTTTTCCCTCAGTAGTTCCTTTTAACAGTGGGTAATTCCTACTACATCTACCCATTGCTCTCTTAGGTCTGATGTGGAAAAGTTAAATTCAAACCCTGCTGATGGCTATGTAGATCAAATACAGTTTCTGAGGATGATATGCTTTTTTATATCTATTATGGTTGTATAGATTTTTAAAACATCTAGAAATTGCAAAGAAAAAGATGTATATATGTTGCAAAAATTAGCATCCAAAATTAAGACGTGTCACAAAAAAAGGTTGATTATACAACTTCAATTCAGCCCCTTTGTGTATACGCATTATGATACACTTAATTATGTTCTCGTATAAAGATTTTTTCTACATGAATCATGCTTCATTTGTAAACACGTCTCTCTTGATTTGAGCACTGTAGCATGGTTTATTTCTGAGTCTGCTATAGACACTGTAGGCGATTCTTGGGCAAGATTCTATAACAATGTATACACAGAAGCTGGCCAAAATAAGATTGTATTGGAATCCTGTAGCATGTCCCAGCTTTTAAGTACTTGATTTTTCAACTCATTTTGTTAGTAATACTGTACTTAATAAAAAGTTCAAACCTTGTCTAGAATATCCTGTAGTTTCATTTCTAGCTTTTTCTCAGCACAACTATAAAGCCACTCTTAACATTTTTTCTTCAGCAAAACAAAAAAGAAAAGAAAACAAAGACTAGAACAAAACAACTGGTTCACTTTCAAAAACAATAAAATTAGAAATAGAAGAAAAATCATTCCTATTTAATATATATATTATAGTATAATGAATACAATGGATCTGTCATGTTAGAAAGATGTTAGCCATTTGTATTGTCAGTTTAATTATACAACTAAGATAAGCTTTTACTCCTCCTACAATCCAGAACTCTTTTGTGTGGTCATAATTTCTAATAGGAGACCACATTAACACTAAATGCCTATATTTTAACTTGATCATCCTTAAACTAAGTGATTTGATATATAACACTATTTTACTGTACATATAAACTATTTTATATCAATATGTTATAGCATATACACACAGTTAGACTATTAAGTTAGGCAGGAAGACAGAAAATAGAATATCACTTCCTAGTCTAAATAAAATATTTTCAAATTAAAGCTTAATAAAAAAACCCTGTAAATGGTTCATTCTTCAAGCACCAATTTTGCATTAGTTATCATTTGTAGTTTCTTCAAAGCTAAGTGAACTTAGAAGAGGTATTAAAGACAAAGTTTGTTCCACAGTTAAATAATTTATTTCTTGAATTTGTCACAAATGACACTTTGGAAGACAAATGAATCTTGACATTTCTTTCACAGCAAAATCTGTACTAAATTTCTATAAGAAAGCATCTTTGCTCTTTAGAAAAAACATTGTACCATGTTTTTCTTACATTCCTCTAGCTTGCAGCACACTCTACAAACATTCCAAACTTCTCTCTCTCAAAAACACTCAACCATATACAGTTAAAAAATAAGCTACTTTTGAACTTCTAAAATAAAGCAAACTAAGAGTTTCCCTTTATTTAAAATTACCTCTTAGAGCTACTTGAGGTTTGCTGACAGAACTGCTCATATCTGTCAGCTATTCCTATTTCCCAATGCCAGCAGCCCTGGTGTCCAACCAGAGGCACATTTTGACAAAACACAGACATATAAATAAATTTTGTTATTTCTCATCCAAATTTCACTTTTTTGTGAATATTTTCCAGCTGTGCTCTGAATGTTTTCTTGGTGAACAGAGACAACTTAGCTCTCCTCATCATTTTGAATAATTATTATTTGAACTTGAATCTGACAAAAAATAGCCCATGAACACACAG